GTATCTAAAGCCCGAACCTTTCTTTTCTAGTTTTGAATAGAGTTTTGAAGGGTATGAACCCCTGTTAGGTCTGTCGTTGCTATTCATGTGTCCTGAGATTCGCCATCTCTGTTTGTCCTGGTGACTACTGCCACCGAGAAAGCAATGGGAAATCCAATTGTTACAGTTGTCACCAGAACAAGAGGTGATGGGAAATCTTCAACATGGGGACTGTTCTGGTGTCAACTGTTTGAGAGGTAGGTTTCCCTCACTTTGTAGAGTTTTCTTCTCACTTCCTGTTGCATCTCCAAGACAGGAAGTGAAATCTCCCCACCGGGACATAAAACAGAAAAAAAAAAGTAAATAAATAAAATAAACAGAGCCTTCCCTATTCTCTCCAAAACCAAAAAAAAAATGTCACTATGCATTATCTTTCAGCACTATTGATTTGCCAGATGGTCACAAAATCAATCAGAAATAAATAGAAGATACTTAAAAAAAAGTTTTTTGAAGAGACAATGCAAATTTCGATATAGCTCAAGAGAAAAACCTCCCAGTGCATGGCAGAGTTTTTATTTACTTTAGTCTAGAGATGAGAGAGTTTTAATTTTCTCAAAAGTGTGTCAGAAATTGGCAGATTTTTGTGAAATTTTGTCAAAAAGTAGTAGAGCCAATGGTGAAGGTAAAATGAAAGTGGTTTAAAAGTCTAATGGATTTACAAAAGCTCCTTTGAACTATCACAGACCTGTTGCGTCATACAAAATGGCCTGTAATCAGCCTCATTATTTTACTCAAGGAAAAGAAAAAAAAAAGAAAAGAAAAATGTGCACAAACAACATTTACACAAAAGAAAAAAAAGCAAATACAAAGAATGCAAAATAAAATAAATGACCCTAAATATGCCCACCCAATAAAACGCTAAATTGTTTTTTAGCATATCAATAATGATATTAATAATAATAAAAGTGATGATGCTAATAAAAATAGTAATAATAATAAAAATAATAATGATGATGATGATAATAATAATAATAATATTAGTGGTAATATTAATTATAAATATAATAGCACATTTTTGCATAAGCAGCTCCATAAAAAAAATTGAAATTTCTATTCATTCATCTTGGGTTTCTCTATTGGTTGAAGACTGGTGCCTTTTTTCAACCTAATCATGTAACGTGCCCACAAACAAGTAAAATGAAATGTATTCATGCGATCGGCATAGAAAGCCATAAAAAGGGCAATTTATTCACAGAATAGAGTTTCTAAAATTAGATGGCACCGGGGTTATGTTATGTGACTTAGCAGAGTCCTTTTCTGAATAAATATTAATGGTAAACATCCGTGTTTCACAACTGGCGGCGGAGCCTTTGTGGTGCACATATTGTGGATTTTTGCACATATCTGCCGACCAATAAATTACGTTACCTGCACTCTGGCCTCGGTGAGGTCAGTCCTCATCGCCAGCTGTGCCCGGGGGTAAACATCTGGGTAGTGTGTCTTCTGGAAGACTTTCTCCAGCTCCTCCAGCTGGTAGCTGGTAAACGTAGTCCTGTTCCGCCTTTTCTTTCCTTTGTTGCTCTCTGACTCGGCCTTATCCATGGGCAGGTCGTTGCTCCCCCTGTCCTGGGAGCCCTTGGCTGGGGCCTCTTTGCTGGTCAGGTAGCCGCTGTCCATTCCCGGGCCGTCACTGTTTGGCGTCAGGGAACTCTCTTTGGCTAAGGGAAGAAGAACATTACGTAATTACAAAATACATTCTGTAAGAAGTGGTCTTATCATAGAACCTTTCTTGTATTCATAATGTGTGTTTTTCTAATTTTAAAGAGGGAAAGGGTTAAAGCCCCCATTAGGTATTTAGTAATGTCTCTGTCCCCACTGGGGGGATTCACATTATTTATCCTGGTGTCCATTGTCACTGAGAACGAAATTCAGTGGAAATCCAACATTTTGTGTTATTATGAGTGACTTCCCCTCATCACCCCTTTTCCCCTCCCTCCCCCTCCCCTTTCATCTTCCTTCCCATTCTCCATCCTATACATCTTTATTTCATATCTGGTGGACATGCCTCATTAGTTTGTTCCTTTTGGGCACAATTGTATAAGATATTATGTGCTCTATCGGGCTGTACCCTACCTGTGGACCTGACCTATGCCGTATTTAATAAAAGACCTGATGGTATAACTGACACCCAATTCCACTTCCAGTTGCAAATACTCACTGCTGCTAAGCAAATGCTAGCCAAATCTTGGAAAACCCCCAATCTTAACTTGGATGAAACCAAAAATAAAGTGATGAAGGCCAGGATTCATGGAAAAAATTAATCTACAATCCTGGATGGAGTGGTTCACTATACTGGAGTGTGGCCCTGGATTGACAAGTCTCTGCCCCGAAGGGTTTGATACCATGCTTCTGGAGCCCTACTAATTTTCCCTTTTGTAGGGGTCTGTCATTTAAAGGAGAACTATGGGGTTAAGGCTTTTCCCCATAGTTCTCCTTAGGGTAACGGGAGGACACAAACTAGCGTTCTCCCGTCACCCTAGGCTCAGTATACCGCGAGCTGTAGCTCGCGGTATACTGAGACGCCGCAGTATACTGCGAGCTGCTGCAAGCGGTATACTGAGACGCCGCAGCTGAAGCGGATCCGGGATCCGCCTAGCTGCATGACTGACAGCTGGCTCTGCTTATAAATAGGCAGAGCCAGCTGTACGTGCCCCCTCCCCCGTCCATTCCGCCAGTCAGCGCTGGCGGATCGGAGCGGGGAGGGGGGAAATCACCGTAACACATATGTTGTATGACTGTAGGTCTTATTTCCAACTGTATCACACCTAATGTTTATTATTATTTTGCTCCTGTATACATGTCTCTGTAATGCTATACAAAAATGTATTTTATGCTGTGTGAATGGGAACACATAACAAACCTATAGTGGGGATTTTCTCAAATTTGACTGCAAAAGTGGAACTACACTTTAAGCACAACCAATTATAAGGACCCTAGAAGTGTACAAATAGGTAAATCCCGTTCCTTTCATTTCCAGAATCAATATTTGTTCAATATTCGAAGAGTATTGGCCGATTCTTCCCAACAATTTTCCCGTCTATGGACAGCAAGACCCGGCACAGTTGCACCGTATCTGCCTATCTATCTTTATCTATACAGACGTACAGAAAGGAGAGTTCGGTTTTCATTAGCCGATTACTTTGGGAAGAATAAAATTAAGCCAAGACTATGTCAACGCCGATTTCATGGCGGGACGTCACCTAGAACTAATCGCTATGAATGGCTTTATTTATTTCTACTACAGAAAAAGATGCTGGTTTATATAACTCCGTCCGTCAGATATTTTAATTAAAGAATCATTTTTAGATTCATCTATCCTCTGAGACTTCTTTTTTGGCAGGAAGTCAATGTTACAATTTTGTTCCTTGTATCGGTCGGACAGGAAGTAAACTTTTTTTCCGTGTTAACCGTTTAAAGTGTATCTAAAGCCCGAACCTTTCTTTTCTAGTTTTGAATAGAGTTTTGAAGGGTATGAACCCCTGTTAGGTCTGTCGTTGCTATTCATGTGTCCTGAGATTCGCCATCTCTGTTTGTCCTGGTGACTACTGCCACCGAGAAAGCAATGGGAAATCCAATTGTTACAGTTGTCACCAGAACAAGAGGTGATGGGAAATCTTCAACATGGGGACTGTTCTGGTGTCAACTGTTTGAGAGGTAGGTTTCCCTCACTTTGTAGAGTTTTCTTCTCACTTCCTGTTGCATCTCCAAGACAGGAAGTGAAATCTCCCCACCGGGACATAAAACAGAAAAAAAAAAGTAAATAAATAAAATAAACAGAGCCTTCCCTATTCTCTCCAAAACCAAAAAAAAAATGTCACTATGCATTATCTTTCAGCACTATTGATTTGCCAGATGGTCACAAAATCAATCAGAAATAAATAGAAGATACTTAAAAAAAAGTTTTTTGAAGAGACAATGCAAATTTCGATATAGCTCAAGAGAAAAACCTCCCAGTGCATGGCAGAGTTTTTATTTACTTTAGTCTAGAGATGAGAGAGTTTTAATTTTCTCAAAAGTGTGTCAGAAATTGGCAGATTTTTGTGAAATTTTGTCAAAAAGTAGTAGAGCCAATGGTGAAGGTAAAATGAAAGTGGTTTAAAAGTCTAATGGATTTACAAAAGCTCCTTTGAACTATCACAGACCTGTTGCGTCATACAAAATGGCCTGTAATCAGCCTCATTATTTTACTCAAGGAAAAGAAAAAAAAAAGAAAAGAAAAATGTGCACAAACAACATTTACACAAAAGAAAAAAAAGCAAATACAAAGAATGCAAAATAAAATAAATGACCCTAAATATGCCCACCCAATAAAACGCTAAATTGTTTTTTAGCATATCAATAATGATATTAATAATAATAAAAGTGATGATGCTAATAAAAATAGTAATAATAATAAAAATAATAATGATGATGATGATAATAATAATAATAATATTAATAA